AATAGGGAGAAACAGAACAAAAAGCATACGATACCATCCGGACACATCTGACATCAGCATCAATACTGGTACACTTTGATCCAAACTAAAGAACAATGATTGAAATGGATGCCCTGAAATATGTCTGTTCAGGCATACTATCGCAGCAATGCAAAGATGGAAAATGGAGGCCAGTGTCTTATCGATCCAAGACAATTACCCCCAAAGAGTGCAACTACGACGTTGCAAATGAAGAACTATTAGCAATAGTTCAAGCATTAAAGGAATGGAGGAGATATATTCTGAACAACAACCATCTAGTCCGAGTTCTAACCAACTACAAGAATCTGGTCCAGGTCATGACTATGAAGAAATTGAAAAGACCACCAGATAAGGTAGATGGAAGACCACAGCAAACACAACTTCAAAATCGAATACCAACCAGGCAAAGAGTATGGGAAGCCAGACGCTCTTACAAAGATTGCAAGTGACAAGCCACAAACAAAAGAAGTCGATATGATCAAACAAAAAACACGAACACTATTACCAAAAACCTACTTCAAGGCAATGGAGGTTATCCAATTCACATCAACGGAAGAAAAGGAAATTGAAAAGGGAAACAAAGGAGACAAAACAATTCAGACAATAAGAGAAGTATTGAAGGAAGGAAAAAAGGAGATGAAATAAATCACTCTAGGTTTATGCCAATGGGAGGATGGAAACATGTGGTACGATGGAAAACAATGGATTCCTGAAGAAGAAAAGATAAGAACAGACATCATACAACAACACTACGATATCCCAATGGCAGGATATGGAGGAATGGCAAAAACAACACAATTTATCACGAGGGCATTCTATTGGCCAGGACTGCGTGAAGACGTCAAAAGATATGTCAAGAATTGTGACATATGCCCAAGGACAAAAATGGCTAAACACGTACCAAACGGATTACTGAAATTGAATGCAGATCCTGAATGACCACGGGAAATAATTACGATGGATTTCATCATGGACCTACCGTTATCGGAGAAATGCGATAGCATTCTGGTCCTGGTAGATTGTCTGACCAAAATAAGTTATTTTATTCCAGTCAGAAAAGATATAGGCACGTGGGATTTTATACAAACATTCCTCCAAGAAGTTTTCCGACTTCATGGCCTCCCAAAGAATATTATTACCGACCAAGGAATATTGTTTACATCAGGACTGTAGAAAAAAGTAATCGGAGAAATGGGAATACAAAACCGGCCGAGCACAGCATTTCAGCTACAAACGGATAGACATACGGAATGGGTAAACGCAATACTCGAACAATATTTACGGGCCTACGTCAATTACCAACAAGATAATTAGTAAAAGCTGCTATCAATGGCCTAATTTGCATACAACAATGGTAAATAAGAAACAATTAGCACAACACCCTTCTTCGCGAATTATGGAAATCATCCACAAAGTCAGGCTACATATTTCATGATTAACAGTATAATACCGAATAAAACAGTCATGGGAAAACCACACGAGACATTACAATATGAGATGAGTCAAGTACAACAACGGCAAAAAGAACAATACGATAAACACCAAAGACTGAATCCAAACATATAACCAGGAGATATGGTATGGCTAATACCATACAATGTCTATACAACCCAACCATCAAAGAAATTGGACTACAAGAAAATCGGGCCATTCAAAATACTGGAAAGAGTGGGCAACCGAGCTTATAAACTCGACCTTCCCCCCTCAATATGAATACACCACACATTCCACATCTCACTCCTTGAATTGCACAAAGACAATAAGTGTCCCTCATAAATAATTATTCCTCCCCCTCTGATTGAACTCAATGGAGAACCAGAATACGAACTCGACAAGATAGTCGATTCTCGCTTCACCTACGGAAATATACAATACCTAGCCAAGTGGACCGGTTATTCCCCAGAATACAATAAAGCTTTGTACTCCGCAAACAACTTCGAACATGCATAAGATGCCCTCGCAACCTTCTACCCGCAATATACAGGCAAACCTGGCCCAGGTAATGATGACATTCAACTAAGACAAAGGCGAGGAAAAGGCTCCTTCGCTATTACAACCACACGAGGGATGGGGCGATAGCCCCTGTGAAACTACTCCAACCAGCCCTGAATACTCATTCATGGGGCCGACCAATGAAGAACTCAAGGAAAGGGAAAAATAAGTACAGCATAACACCATGTCATGGACGGTATACTACGATGATGGGTGTCCCACACACTATGGGGACAAGCAAGGCTCAGGGTGGTTCCTGAGAGAATATAAAAAGTATGGTACCCACCCAGACCATGCCCTAAAGCACTGTTTCCAGTGCTTTAACAACACCTGCAAAATGCACACAATGAAGAAAATCACTGCGGGATACTACCCGCAGAAGGATGGAATAAAGAAAGAGTTGGATGGAAAGGACCCCACGATATGGCAGAGGGCTAGGGCCTGGAGGATGAGGCCCAGGGAGGAGGAAGCTTAAAGTTCATCTACAGAAACGGAACCGGATACCAGAAGCCTGCACAGGCAAATCCGAGTACTCTGAGAACAACTGGGCTAAGCCGAGGCAACAATTTCGGCAAATAATAATACGATTGCGGAGCTGAGGCAGCTGAACGATACCTAGTAGCGCACGATTGAGATGGCAAACCTTACCTTGGAAACAGTGAGAATAAGATGGCAGGAAGTAGACGACAAGCTCAATAGGTTCTGGAGGTCCATGCATTCTGCAGGACGGGAACTATTGAAAATTGTGAATAAAGCCTGATGGGACTCAGGGTTAGCAGGAGAGGAGCTAATGTCACGAATGTGGCTTGGCATGGAAAAGGTTTTCACATGACTCATGATTATGAGTTATAGGTATGTTATTGTTTCACGCATATGACTCATTTGGGTAGTATGATTTATTATGTTATGATTTATAATGTTTCGCACATGACTCGATTATGAGTCATGGGATGTGCACCTGACGAGTATACCTTGCGAGTGTGCCTTGTGGGTATGCCTTGCACATATGATTTATGTTTTACACATGACCTCGTTATGAGGTCATGGGTTTTACGCATATGACTCAGTTGAGTCATATGACTTGTTTATTGCATTATAATTGGTTTATGAGTTTTTGCACATGACCTCACTATGAGGTCATGAGTTTTGAGCATGTGACCACTCTTGTCACATGACTAGTTTGTTATGATTTGGTTTTGCACATGTGACCATTTTGGATCACATGATTATGGGTGGGAAAAATACTATATAAGGAGGCCAATGCGGCTGAGGAGGATGAGTTCTTCACGTATTATTCTAAGTACTTTTCCTACATATTACATTAACGAATATAAGATACCTTTACGATTTTTATCTTTATTATAATATTTATCGTTATGCAGAGGAAAGCTCTTCATGGAAAAGAGTTAGAAAAAGCTTATGATAGGCGTTCCTGATAGAAGACAGAGGTCTTGTACTATCCGTAATGTAGGCAGAGGCCTTGTGCTATCGTAAGACGCAGAAAGACAAAGAAGGAGAAAAGAAGAATCATTCCCCATCGCCAAGAACTAACCATCCAATGAGGGATCATTACATGAACCCTGACAAGAGCAGGGAAAGGCATGAAAAAGAGAGACTTCATGTGGATACCCAAACACGAGAAGATATACTCCAAGGAAGTGGCGGATGAGGTTGCCCAAAGAATAGCAGGAGGGAGGGTGATACCTAGACTGTAGGAAGGGATGGAGTTTAGGAAAGGGGAAGGGATGGTAATAAAGGGAATAAAGAAGGAGGAATAGGAGGAGTGGTACAAGGAGGAGGGCTATGATTACTACAAATGGGGACCGGGAGGGAAGAAACACCTTTGGGAGTTAACAAGGCTAGACGGATCTGTGCTAATGAGAATAAGGCAAGGGAGATTGGAAGGGGACCACCAGGGTTGTGAGGGGCGTGATGTACGATTCCACATAGTGGAATGCGAGAAGTACAGGGATGAAAGACTGGAGAGGTGGACCTTGTACAAGGATGAACATATTGGGAAGTGGAAGAGGTGGTGGGTGAGGCACGAATACCGTGAGATAGGAATACCATTGAGCGTCCCAGATGAGATAGGAACAAGGGTAAAATACAGGAACCCATTTGACCACATGTTAATGGTGGAAAGGAATGGAATGGATGTGGTGGTACTAATGGGAAGAGGGTTGGGCAGGAAATGGAACAAGTCCCACGGGGGGAAATACATGTTTCAGGTGAGAATGGATAAAGGAAAATTCTTTTTTGTAGACGGGAACAAGGTCAGGTGCGATATTTGCTTAGAGGAATTTAATGGGGGAAGCAATAAGAGGCCAGACGGGTTGGGGCTGAGAGCGCACCTGGGGAGACAGGTGGATTGTGGTGAGGTGGTGGTAGAGGATTATTGGAGAAGGATGTGGGAGGAGTGGAACTGGATGAGTGAGGAGAGGCGGCATCAAATTGCATTGAAGTGGAAAGAGATTTGTTGGGCTAAAGGGGCTGGCACTAGTATATATTGCAAAGTGATGTACCAGTCTCAGGGGGCGAGAAGGAAGCATTGAAGGATGGAGAGGGAATGCAGGATAAGAATAGTGAATGATGTGTGGTGGGAGATAGGGTTGGAGAAGAGAGGGGAGAGATACTGCAGCAGGTCTGCAGCATAAGGGTTTTGATTTGAAAATTTTGATTTGTTTGTTTTGATTGTTTTGTTGGTTTTTTTTTTTTTTTTTGAGTTGGGTTGGCTTACCTCATGGAACGTAAAGCCTTGGGATAGAGAGCCTGATGGAATGCTTCCCTCTAGTTAGAGAATTTATTATATTTACTTCCGTCGCTCGGAATTAGAGAACTACCAGCCCCAGCCTCGGCGCCAAGGCTCGGTTGTTGTCGTTATCTTATACTGCATGCAAAACCTCCCTGATGATGGGATCTTGGCGTGCGGCTACACTTGCCCTCTCGTCGCCACTTTTTCTCCGGGTTGCAGCACCAGCCTCAACAAACCTACACACACCCCATCACCCTTCTAGCTTATGACATTCAAAGCTCCACATTAGGTCCTACGCCTCCAAACAATCCTACAGCATTTAAGAGTTGAAAGTCAGACAATATGGGTGGTGTAAGTTCCCCTTCTGTTCACACTTCCCCCCTCGCTAAACAAACACTAACCTCCCACAGGATCTCAATCTCAAGAAATCCTGGCACCCCCACCTCCTCAAGAACCAAGAACGCGTTTGGCAGGAGGAGAAAAAAGCCCTAGAAGAACGCAAGCGCATCGACCAATGGCGCAAGGAACGCGAAGAGGAACGCCAGCTCCAGGAGCTGCGGCAATTACAAGCAGCCGCTGGCGGCAAACAGGCTGTTGACCGGGTGGACTTTTTATATTCTGGCCCCTCACAGGGGATGGATAGGACTACCGAGGAGATGGAGGGATATTTGCTTGGGAAGCGCAGGATCGATGGACTGTTGAAAGGGGGGGATATGGATGTTTTGAAGAAGGATGCTGGTGTCGGCGTTGGTGTTGGACCGGTGGTGGGCCCAGGCGCGGCGGTGGGCCTGACTGGTGTCGCTAGTGTTAGAGATATCGCGAATAAGGTTCGGGAGGACCCGCTGTTGGCGATTAAGAAGCAGGAGCAGGCGGCGTATGAAGCGTTCAAGAAGGACCCTGCAAAGAGGAGACAGTTGAAGGAGGCTGTCAACGGGAAGTCTGGGGATAAGAAGAGGGAGAAGGATAGGGGCGATCGGAGGCATAGGAGCAGGCATGACGATGATAAGAGAAGTCGTGACGATAAACACAGACGAGACGACGATGGTCAAAGAAGACGTGACGATAGACATAGGCGGGACGGCGATAGACACAGGTGGGACGGCGATAGACGCAGGCGGGATGACGACAGAAGCCGACGAGATGACGGCGAAAGGATCGGCCGTCGGGACAGGGACAGGGACAGGGACACGGATAGAAGGCACCACCACCACCATCGCCGCAGAAGATCCATGTCCGACGATCGCTCTTTGTCCCGCTCCCGAAGCCCTCCCGCTCGCCTCTACTCTCCACGCCGCCCATCTTCTCCTCACCACCGTGTTTCATATCCTCCTCCCGGACGCAGATCGCCTCCCTCCCGCCCCCGTGACTTCGAACCAGCGCGACCCCCGGCAGACGACCCCGACGTCCAGCGCGCGCAGAAACTCGCGATCGCGGAAATGGTTGCTAATGCCTCGCAAATGAACGCCGACAGGGCGAAACGTCTGACGGATTTGGCTATCAGGGAAAAGGCCGAGTTGGAAGCCGAAGAGAAGGCTCGCATGCGGACTTCGAAGGTTGGTGGGAAGGGGGAGTTCCTGACTGGGGTTAATAGGAAGGTTGGGGACTTGGATCTTGGGGAGAGGGTTCGGAGAGGGCGCCAGACGCTTGTTGCTGAGAGGGAGGATTGAGCTTCTTCGTGATACTTCCAGAGGTGGGTAGAGTTGTATAGCGTGAAGCTTGTTGGATAGGTGATTGGTGTTTCGGAGAGGTCTTGGTTCTACTGTATGTAATAATGGGCGCTTGCTCAATGGCGCAATTTCATAACTGCTGGCTGATTGGATTCGACTTTTACGGGCTCTACTGGGGTTTTGTCGGACACTGGGTAACTTGGTCCGCGAAATTCTGCATTCTAAGCAAGTAGATAATTAGGATATCGCTTGAGACTATGCTTGTACGAAGATAAAGAGAGTACTGTAGGGCTGCGGATTCGGGGATATCTTCTCCAAGGTAGACCTTCACATGTGCATGTTCTACGGTGGCTATGAGTCTAACCCTATCGAAACGTGACATTAAAAATTCCGTGGGATGTGTTCACCGGAGCGAAGATTTGCGTTTTATGATATATTTCTCTTGGTCCTTAGGTATCGTAAGAGAGATTAACTTGTGGTTCCCGTAGCATCAATCGTTGACACACTGTCGCACACAGAGTGTGTTGGAGCAGGTACGAATGTTCGAGCAGGTACTAGGAAGATATGAAGACCGGTTCAAAGTGGAAAGTGGATATAGTTGAGATGGAGACTTGAAAAAGAGGAGATGATTGTGGTTTTTCTTTCTTGTTTTTCGGTTGTTCCAAAGACAACTACATTTTCAACTATAACCAGCTCCCTGTGCTAAGCCTGCTGACCAGGCACGCATCTTTCCTTTTTCGGGCACTGGCCTGTCTAGTACTGACGGAGTGTCCTAACGCCGGAGCTAAATTATTTTGCCTGTCCATTTCGTTCTCAATCGGAAATGGCTAGTCTGGGAGTACTATTGATATACACCGGGGAACGGTGACGGGCCGGTGGTGAGCACGGAGAATAAGACCTCGCGGGGTCGAGAGTGAGGATATCAATCAGTGAGTACCTTGCTGTCCGGAAGATGTTCTTGTCTCCGGAGTTTATGGGGAAGGAGGAGAGAGGTCAGTTCGGTGGGATGAAATGGGCATGGCTTGCTCGGAGGAATGTCCGCCCTCGAGGGGGTTTGTGTTGTGTCAAAGACGGGCAGGAGTTCTTTGACGGATACTCAAATAAGGTCGGGTCTAATTGTCGTGGTGGCTGCTCATGTCACACAACTCCCTTGGCCTACCGTAAGGCACCACCGTGTGCTGGCATAGTTCGCGCTAATTGTGCTGGAAATTTCTCACTCAAGAATGATAGATTTGCTGTAAATCGGCACTGGGAATTTCCTAGACACTCACTGCTGCGCTTTTCAGGAACGTTGCCAACAGCAATTGTCGAAAAGCTTTGTTTGCCGCTGTAGGCCGTCCCCCTTTACGTTATAGTATATTATGTCTGCGGAGGGGGGGGGGGAGTAGGCCGGATAAGGATCCAATGGTTGACCTTACAGTTGAGACTGTCATAAACTGGCCCCCTTGCTTCTTACTTTAATGATATAATAGTTCACCCCTTCCCTCCTCCATACTATACTAGTACCACCACTACCGCGTGGGCAGCCGCGAGGGTGATGGAATATTTTGAGTCCCCCCCCTGTCAATGCCTTAGATAGAGGTGAGTAAGGCATTTCCTCTAGTCTATATTCCTCGGTGGTGATAGGCATATGTACGGTCATATAGTGGTTTGCCACATCTGAGAATTTTGAGTATGATCTGATAATATACTGATATATTATGTAAAAAGTTTCTCTGCAAACCTATTCGAGTATCATACTCGGGGGCCGAGCAGGGAATTTTGGTTGGTTGGCAACTAGATGTGCCACTAAATACGCTCCCGCTAGCACCCCCCGCTGAACCCTTCTTGGTGTAAATTACCTTACCGGTGGGCGTATCATGCCTGCATCAGAATTCACATGTCGGGCCTCGCAATATTCCGGCCTTGATTTAATTTGATTTTGGCACTTGGGCGAATTCGACGATTCGGCATTGACTACTCGTCAGATATCTGGGTGTGAAAGCCTACATAGCCGACTTGATTAGAGTGGGTTAAACTCTCCCCCAGCTAAATTCTACACATCTTGACATTTTGCGCCCCATCGATTTATTTCCCGTCCTAATTTCTTCTAAGTGCTCAGCTTGGCATCATCATTGATCACTCGGTTAAACTCTAGGCTCCAACATCCTCTGACCATCCCATACTGTAAAAATCCTTTTAGTTCTGAGAGGAAAACGGGGGGTCGCCTATGCCATTGATCTATTCAAAATTTGGTGAAGGCCCGAAATGGATTTGTTCGTTTGGCTGTCGTCGTCATTGGTTTGTTCAGTTTCCTCCATGTTCCCTGGCTCTGATTACCCCGCAGGAGAGCATGATGCTACTGCTGATGTTATGATTTTTAAGTGTTGCTCGCATAGTATATCATACCTAGCTCAAATAACCACCGGATTGGTTCTTACCGAAGCCACAATTTGGCTCGACATACTAGCGATAGGGGGCTATCAACCGGTACCACAGTGCTCTCGTTTCCGCAATGTTCTCCTAACGCCTGATGCGTCGCGGAGGATTGGCAATCTTTAACTGGAGGATTGCAGAAGCTATTTACCGGGGGGAAGATAATGGTATGAATATCCTATGGAACCAACGTGCCGTTGCCGGGTTGGAAAAAGGTTTCTCGAAAAGGAGTCGTCCTTGTCTTGCTATCTAGAGCCGGAGTTGGTGAGTAGGGACATGGCAGTGGATTTTCGCTTTCGAATCCTGTGCCCAGCAACATGGGTGTGCGTTCTTGGGTTTTGCTGATACCCCTGCCATCGGACATCAGGTATCGGGTGTTTAATTTAGCGTTGTTTCCTTCAAACCTTATGCTATGATATCCTATCGGGAATATTGGTAGTTGGCACAGGGAACTGGATTTAGGGATTACGGAGGGTCATGGGGTGTCAGGGCAGTTCTAGGTTGTTTGGGATAGAATCATGATTTGTCAAGATGTTGTGCCCTTTTAGAGTTTGACTGAGTTTCACTGAGTTTCTGGTAGTGCTGGCGGTGGGTCAAACCCGACTATTGGGTGGGGGGGGGGGAGGGCGGGATTTCTCCTATTTTGGTAAAGTTTTTTTATTTATTTACCTACAGAATCATCATATTTTACAACCCTTTCCCCTGATGCTGAAAAAGAAAGATAGTGTAGCTGAGGAGTAAGGGTTAATTTCCAAATTTCAATGACATGTATTATGATTGTATCATAATATTATCACACTTAGAAACTTGTATTATTCTCGCTATACATCCGGAACTCTCCGTCCTCCGTAACGTGCTGCATGTGTCAATTTCCGGGAGTGACGATGTTGGACAATCGGGAGTGAAAGTATCCCGGTGAGAAATATCTACACGTAGCATGGGTTTCTAGTTTTTAGAAATTCGGGGGTATATCTACCTCCTGACTTGTCCCTGGTTAGTGTCTGTATCGTTCGTCTATTGCAATGTCCCTCAACTTTCCCCTGTGCTTGACCCCTCAGCGATTCCACTCTCACCGCATCATCTTATCCTGCTTTCATTAGACCCCTTCACTCTTTGCAGGGGTTGGCTTGCAGAAGGGACCCGGTCTGGCACGGGTTTGGTGTTTGTTGGTCGTTCGGTGTTGATTGTGCACTTGGTTGGCATGTAATGACCGAGTGAGTGATTGTGATTCTCAACCCCATCTCGGATACAACCTAACGACATTTTAAAACCAGGAGGTTCGGTAGAGAGAGAGAGAGAGAGAGAATAGTAAGCATTGTGGGGGTAGAGATATGGTTTTCATTTTGTGCAATACCGTCAATTATGTTTTCGGGGGTTGGAATCTAGTTCTGTTAGGTTTCTGTAGTGTTTGTAAGTTAGAGGTTATTGTTCTGCATGGTGTTTGTGGGGACCACTGTCCTGGTGAGGTGTATAGAGAGGATAGAGCTGAGGCGACGGAGAGGATGGGGGCAACCGCGAACACTTTTGCGACCACGGCTGAGGCGTTAATTGATTGCTTTCTCTCTTCGATCCTTTTCTCTTTTCCGCATTAGTCTGAGGGAAGCTGTTTGACCGAAGACTTGCGATCGCGGATCCGGCAACCGGCAGTTTTTTTTTCGTTCAGGTTTGTGCGAAAACATCGGTGGCCTACTTTCCCTGGGATCCAGTGAAGCCTGCCCATCGTTTTGGTTCTCTTTCCCAGTCCGCTTTCGTCCTTTCAGAACGGTAGCAGGCATACATTCCAGGGTAGCTTGTGGTTATTGATTCCTGTAGGATAGATTTCCCGGTATCATATGGTAACCACTTTTCTCCTGTTTCCCCTTCGGAGGTTTCTTAGTCGGGGGGCGGGGGGTATAGTAAAAAATAACCCGAGCTGTAGGAACGTGGAATGACGGAGATTGGGGATCCACTCCCGGTGACCGGAGTTATATAGTGGGCCTTCATCCGACTCGGAACACGACGGTTTTTGCATATATGACAAATCCCCACACATTCAGCGATGGACAGAAAGCCCTCGTTGTCGGACAGACTGCTGGGCTTAATAGAGCAGGAGGTGGGTGGTGGTAGAGCTGAAATGGCAGAGATACCCGTGATAAAGGGCGGGTTCGATGAACCTGTTGGAATATTGTCCCTGAGTTTCGATTTCATACCTACTATTGGTTTCCTATATGATCTTCACGAACTTTCTGTTATACCTTACTTGATGTCTGAAACTGTTATCACTCTGTTGTCTCCGTACTGTTTCCTCTCTATCTCCTTGCAGTGAAAATTTCTCTCTTGTTTCTTTTCTGTTTCCTTGTTGTTTCAAAGGGACAAGACTTTAGTCCCCTTACCGGAGATGAAAATTTTCATCCACACAGGCACCGGACAAG